GTGTGTGTGTGTGTGTGTGTGTGTGCATGTGTGTGGCCAGCTCAGCCCACCAGGGGGCGAGGCTGGCTGGCATGTGGTGCTGGGGATCGAACTGCGGTCGCTGTGCTTTGCCAAGCTTGTTTCAAGTAGGTGCTTTAGACCACTGAGCCATCTCGCCAGCCCCAGAGTTCCCATCTTGATAAATAGGTTCAACATGGAATGTGGTACTGTGTTATAGTTTCTAGATGGTTGTATAAAGCAAAAAATTAAGCTGGGTATGTGTTTTTAAAAGAAAATAGGTGATTACTTAAAAAAATCTGTACTTTTTCATTATTACAAGTTCTATTTTCTAATGACAACAACAAAAAAATGAAATCCAAGACTGTAAAAGAGTCTTTCCTTTTTTGTTTTCTAAATCAATGCTCTCTACTGCCATGCTCTATGCATTTGCATTATTTGAGAAGAACAAATGTTCTCTATTTTAAAAGGAATATCATGAGGCTCTAAGAAATAGAATGACCAGCTTATAAATGGTGGGGAATTCAATAGTCTCAGTTGAGAGTTTTTGTTTCTAGAACATCCTGCCAAAATTTTTAATAAATAATAGTCATCCATCCAATAGTTTTCTTCCAATGTTAACTAAATGTTTAATTACAGAAACATAGTTGGAATTTGAGACTATAAAGAAGAACGTTATACACTTCCTATATCTGCCAGAGTTATAATGGATTTCTAATATTTACCATGTAGGCTAACTTACCTACTTGAAGAGAAATATAAAAAAGGATCCTGAGAGGAGTTGGGGTTTCTTGAGAGTAAGTGTGATGACCACAGCATTCAACTTAGTCCTACTGCTATTTGATAGCTTTTGGTTAAGCACATAATGTGTGCAAAGTACTATAATTGGTGTTAATACTACCAATCTGTGTGGAGTGATACTGAGTGAATAGCACGTTTCATTTTAGTAAAAGTTTGAAAAAAATCACTCTCAGCAGAAAGCTCAGGAAAATCCTAGTTCCTAATATACTGTGCAATTCAAATTTTCAAGGAGATTAAAAATTTAACAACAAGGGGCCGGGGAGAGGGCTCAGTAGAATAAGCGCTTCTCTGGCAAGTGCAAGGGCCTGAGTTCAATCCCCAGTTCCGCCAAAAAAAAAAAAAATTAACAACACAGAGGTGCAAAGGATAACTAACAAAATGAAACTGATGCTCTTAAGTTCTATATTCATTTCGTGAACCAGGTATAAAACCAGAAGATAAATTGAAAATAGTTAATTTTATTGTTTAAAATCCATTCCTGGGGTGGAGAGATTGAGTTGCTATATTTCACTATAGTTTTTGTTTAGGGCTAAAATATTTGTCTATAAGTGCTTTTAAAATAACTTACAGGGATGTACAGGGTCTCACTACATTGGTTGGACTCCTAGTGATTCTCCTGTTTTCAGCCTCCCAAGCGCTGGGATTACAGGCACGCACCACAACACCCAGTCTCAATCATCCTCTCAGCACGTCCTGCGGGCAGGACTGGCACAGCATGGCAGGGAGTCGAACCTTGCCACTGTGCTCTGCCTAAGCAGGCACTTTAGTCCCTGGAGCTATCTGGCCTATCTGGCTGGCCTGAAAAAATGAATTTTAAAAAGCAGTGAAGAGGCTTGCATCTAGGTCAGAATCCAGGATGACAAAAATGTAAGATGTAAGTTTTTTTAAAAGAACTGTATTCTGGTTGTTTGGAAGCTACTTGGACTTTTCAAATAAAATCATGAGAATTAAAAAAAACTTACAGGATATCTTCTACATTACATGGAACACTGTTTGGATGCATGTTGAAAGACATGCTGTTTTGTAAAATTTAGGAGCTGTGTCTACAATTCAAAGAAATATTTGGCATGTTAATTCTAGTTTCATTTAATAACCTGTAAGGCACGTAAGTTTTTTTTTAAGTTAATGGGGAATTTTTGAGATGCAATACCAATACCTTAGAATTTGGTCTTGATGTTTGTATGAAATTCTGAGGCCTTGATGTAAAACTCATTGTATTGTGATTTCCTTTTAGGTGTATTGTGCTAAGTAAAACTTGTGAAATAAATTTTTCAAAATGCAAAATAAAATAAAATAACTTACAGGATAAATTGAAAGAAGAGGCAGATGGTTCACACAAGCCAGACACTGGAACATCAATTCATTGCTTTCAAACTTTTGAGTGACTCCATGGGCCAATAACAGTATTGATCACAACTTAGCTCAGGGCTTTAGAGAGGTGCAAGTGGTCTAGGATGTGACAGATGGACGTCAGACCTGGTTTTGGTCCAGATCTCCTGAGAAATGTATGGGTAACCTTGTGATCTTGTGGTTGGAAGAATTCACTTTTGGTAGTTGGCTTTGTTTTACAAAGAGTAGAAGGAGAAAAAGCTAGGTCAAGTAATATATGTACTATGATACCAGAGCATGGAGCTTTCTTTTGAGGTAGTTGAATTCCCTGGAGAGAAGTGACGATGACTACAGGTAAGGTGAATTTAGTGCTATATATTTGAGAATGCCTTTCGAAAACGTTTCAAATTATTTCTGCCAATGCTTTCAAAATTTCTTAACAGAGTAGAAATGTTAGTGTATTTAAAAGAGGGCAGGGTCCTTTTCTGTATTTTATTTCCAGGTCCACTGAATACCAACCACTGAGAGAGTAAATTTAAAATGAAATTATAGGACTGGGGAGATAGCTCAATAGAATAAGAACCTGCCTAGCAAGTGCAAGGTCCTGAGTTCAATCCCTGGTACTATAAAATTATATGAGAGCACACATTACTGCTAGGTCCACAAAGTGAGTAAGGACAATAGGATGCAAACACAAAGAAACTGGTGTTATTAAATATATTAACTCTTTGTCATGTGTTCTAAAATTATAATCTAAGACCTGTTCTGATTCCATAAAAGTGAAATAGATATATTTCATCAGCTTCTCCACCTTGCACTTTAGACATCCTGGATACAATATACTCAACAGGTGTAAGGAAGCTCTGAAGCTGTAATCCAGCAAATAGACTACCAAGTGACCTTGAAACTTGAAAAGGAATATGACACAACTTTCCTGGGCTTTCTTACTGCTTCCTTTGTATCCTGAAAAAGGGCTCTCCAGACATAGCCAAAGAATAATGTAACCACTAACACAGACAAAAATCTAAGAAGTGATTGGCTTAAAAATAAGCAACAATTTTGGAATGATTCTTCTATTCCAATCCCAAACAGACAGGCAAATGGAAACAATCTCCTCTACAGCCCTTCGTATCTTTTAGTTTTTATGAGGGAAGACTGTGGATTTGATTTCCTTTTCCCAACCTTGCTGAAACTAGGGATGTTCATATCTCCTGGTCAAGGCTCAGCAGGAAGTTAAGTTAGATGCCCTACCTAGAAGAATCAGACTACGATTCCTCTCATAGGACAGTGCCTAGGCCTAGGAGAGAGATGATAGTCCATCCTCAAGTTGACAGAGACAGGAGGTGTTCTGATGATCCTGTCAGGACCGTCAGTAGAGTCTGCTGCTGAATCTAATCTGCTTTCACTATTGTAATGATACTGCATGAGTGATCCAGAGCAGTCACAGTTAGTTGGTATTCTACTTCCCCTGCTCAAAATATACCAAGTGTTCACAAATGATACTGATGGAGTTTCAGTTTGGTAGTTCCACAAATAAATAAGTAGACAGATATTGCTATATGTTCTTATCTATATGTTTATATAACACATTATTAGAAAATTCATGCTTTTATAATATATAGTCTGATAAATATATATGCTTTACATACATATACTTATGTAATATATATGACTATATAATATACATGTTATATGTATTTGGAAATTTAACATATAATCCAGTCATTATACTTCTTATGTACATGAAACAAACTTTAAAATTATGATTCACACACATATTTATATACCACTGTATGTGAAAAAACCTTTTTCCTTCTCTGTACCTTCTGTGAAACTTTGGAAGCTTCCAGGAGGAGAACAGTTGTGGTGAATACTAACTTCTCTTTGGGAGACTGAGGTTGCTGATATTTGTAGGTCAGTAGCAGGAATAAGAAAATGCTGAGGGTCCAATATATTGTCTAAAAAGATTGGTATATCACACTTTGTCAAAGCCATTTTGGGTGACATTTAAATTGATTACTCAAATTTTTCTCTGTCCACTAGGCCTAAGGAATTCATTGTTCATACGCCTGCCTGCTACCTCCAACAGGAATCATTATGCCTGTGACTCCAAAGCGTCCACGGATTGAACGAGAAGTCCAGGCCTCAGTTGAGACAAGAGATGCATATTCACAGTTTCCTACAACTGAGACAGAGGAGGAGGAGACCTCTTCTACTTCCTCTACATCTTTCAACCTCACCTTTTCCACTCGTTCTGTGTCCTCTTCTTCCTCCTCTTCCTCCCACCCCTCCAACCCCAGTCCCCCTGTCACATCTCCCGTTTCCTCCCCTATTTCTCTGATTCTCGATACTACAGAAGAGGAAGAAGAAGATTCTGCTGCAGAGGACCAAGATGCAAGTGACGGTCCTCTTCTGAGTCCTCAAGACCCCACTTCAGGGAATAAGTCTGATGAAAAGTCCAGCAGCCATGAAGAAGAGGAGGGTTCTCGCACCCTGAAGTCATCTACAAGCAGGAAATCCTCGGCTTGAAAGCTACTAGATACTAAAGTGCCTGAATCGGTCATTCCCCTATCCTCAAGTATTGATGAAATAATCCATTATAAAAGTGAAAATATTCAAGGTTGCCATCCATGTTGTCACAAGAACCAATTTCTTTCATCTTTGTGGCAGCTTCTAAGTGACTGGAGGTGAGATCTGGTCTTGAAGTGAAGGCACAGACCCCTTCATCCACTCGTATGCCTTTGTCCACTCACTGTGCTACCCTTGTAATGTGATGATGAGTGAGGGGTGCAGCATAGCTAAGAGCAGTTTCCTGATAAATACCCTAGCACCTGGAATTTCTGGATATGATGGTCTTTAGTGATGAGAAGTCCAGGAAATTATTTCCAAAGACTGGGTAGAGAAAGTTACCCGGAGCATCAGTAGTGCCTGTAACAGATTATGTTTAGATGTTCCCCCAAAGCCTGAAGCAGTCATGGGGGGGACTTTTTAGAGGTAAATCTAGAATTCGTGATTGATTCATGGTCTGGTGTTGGGATTAAAGTGTACGTATTACACACACGCAGTAAGACCACATGCAATATGAGGGGTAGAATGAGGCTTGTCTCTTCTCTCCCTCTCTAGTTGCTTGTGCTACTTTTTATCACCATGAGCTGTTGACTCTCTGCTATGCACCACTCTGCCTTGGAGCCAGCGGATTAAGACTGAAACCTCCACACACTGTGGGCTCCATCAACCTTTTCTCCCTTCATTTTGGACATCAGCTATTTTGTCTCAGCAACCAGTGAAAAGTAAGGTAGTCACCAAGATAGTTATTGACTGCGATCTTCTGCAAAACTGTTTCCTTTGGGGTTCAAGAAAATGGGCTGAAAGCATCAGCATGAGGTGTCTGCAATTCTGGGCCCAGATCTGGCAGACACCACACTTCCTCAAGCTGCTCTGGGGAGATGTTGAGAAAGGAGGACATGAGAGCCAGGCCAAAATGGGCTCCATGTGCGCCCTAATTCCCTACTCCCCACAGCCCTGGTCAGGAGCATCCTCTTCCCCGGAGGAAGGATGAGCCAGATGCCTCATTCCACATTTGCAGAGGTTTAGTTAGTGCCCCCAGCTGGGCAGTCAGCAACTGGTTGTGAAGGACATAGTGTACGCCAACTATGTTCCTGCTCTAAGTAAATCATCTTGCAATTTATCTTTTGTGATGCTTTTAAAAGGGTTGTTCTTTTTAATTAAAAGGTTAATCAAGTTACATTTTATTAAAATACTTACTGTACTAACTTTTACAGATTTAAAAATAAAATTTTGACAGTTTTCAAATCAAATTGGGAAAACTTCCATCTTTCTGAGTGTGTCTCTGTGTGTACGTGTGTGTGCATGTGTGTGTGAGAGAGGGGAGAGAGAGAGAGAGAGAGAGAGAGAGAGAGAGAGAGAGAGAGAGAGAGAGAGAGAAGCTGATATATGGATATGGTCGAGCACAAAATAGGAAAAGGGATTTTTTTTTTGGAAATGTGAAAGGTTCTAGAAGTGACTTACAAAAACTCTGAAACACAGGAAAAAATAATAGAAGATGTTTTACTTTGGGGGTTCACTTCTCGTTTTCATTCCATATTTCTGGAAAATTAAAAACTTAAACTTATTATTGCTTGGTTTACTTCGCAAAGTAGGAAAACTTCTAATAAATTAGAATAAATGAAAACCCTACTCACTGGTTCTATTTTCCGAATATGAATTGAGTATGTGTTCTTTAGGATCCTGTGGTTACACTGGAGAGATTTGCAAAAGCAAAATATACTTCTTTCTGCTTAGAGAACAGTGGAGTGCAGAAACAGCAATAACAAGGTGGTAAGGTGTGGGCTGAAATGTACACAAGAAGTTAGAGGGAGAAGTGGTAGGATGAGACTCCAGATTAGAGCAGTGAGGTATGAATTCTTTGAGTAGTGTTAGTTTGGCACTTTAGAAAACTACATTCTTGTACAGGAATTGGTTAAGAATGAGAGTGTTACGTAAGAAGGATAATAGTCTTAGAGCTCATCTTATGTGAATCGGCATTGAGAAAGTCTGCCCACTGTAACCATCAGAAGCTTCAGTGTGGTCTGAGTGGACAGGTATACTAGAGGAATAGACAAGAGGTACGTGAGACACCACATGGTCCCTGCACTTCACCCCTGTGTCCTGTCACGATGAGCATAACTGTGTCAACTGTTTCATGCTGACTGAGCTACCTACCTACCAGCTCAGTAGTCCAGGACACCCTGCACATGTCCCAGACCTGGAGTCCTTTCAGTGCCACTGTGAGGTGGGTCTATATGTCTCTCACTGTGCACCTACTATGTACAACCTGAGACTATGTAAGTGCATGGAACACACATA